TTCTTTGTATTTTAAAAACATCACACTTTTCTTCAGGCTACCAGACTATTCTACAGATTTTCCAATTGCATCTATGAATCTGTGAGCCACTTTCTTTTTCTCTCTCTCTCACATTACTAATTTATTATGGCTTTTGTAAAAAAGAAAATCAGAACTCTTTTTTTTTTTTTTTTTTGCTTATGTGGCACTGAGGAATCGAACCCAGGGCCTCATGCATGCAAGACAAGCACTCTACCACTGAGCCACCTTCCCAGCCCCCAGAACTTCTTTTACCTAATATTATTTACATCTGTCAAAATTGTGAGGCATGTTCTTAAATCTCAAATTTAATTCCTTTAATACCCTTATGGTGCTACACGCAGACACACACACACACACACACACACACACACACACCTTCACATGCACGCATCCGCATGTGGTAGTGAGGTTTGAACTTGGGAGCTTTGTACTTGCAAGGCAACTGCTTGTTCTCCAATCATGTCCCCATCCGTTTTTACTTATTATTTTTTTAAATAGAGTCTCATTTTCTGCCTAGGGTTGGTACTAAACATAATCTCCCTATTTAGGCATCCTATTTCTTTTTTAATTGGTTAAGATAGGGTCTCTAATCTCAGCCTCCTGAGTAGCTAGAATTACAAACATGATCCAGCATGCTTGCCTATATTTATTGATTTAATTTATTTTTGTGCCAGTCCTGGGGCTTGAACTCAGGGCCTAGGCACTGTCTCTGAACTTTTTTTGTTCAAGACTAGCACTCTAACACTTGAGCCACAGTGCCACTTCCAGCGTTTTCTGAATAGTTTACTGGAGACAAGAGTCTCACAGACTTTACTGCCTAAGCTGGCTTCAAACTGCCATCCTCAGATTTCAGCCTCCTGAATAACTAGGATTACAGACATGAGCCACCAGTGCCTGGCTGGCTATTGTTTAATTTAAAAAATTCTCAATGAGAAGAATAAACTTGGAGTAAATAAAGGAGTATTGATCTTTTGTTTTTTGGTTTGTTTTTTTTTGGGGTCCGGTTGTGGGGCCTGAACTCTGGGCCTGGGTGCTGTCCCTCAGCTCTTCAGCTCAAGGATAGCGCTCTACCACTTGAGCTACAGTGCCACTTTGGGCTTTTTTTTCTGCTTATGTAGTGCTGAGGAATCGAACCCAGGGCCTCATGCATGCAAGGCAAGCACTCTACCACTGAGCCACCTTCCTAGCCCCAGGAGTATTGATCTTTTACCAAAGCTTTTATTCTTCTATGCATTTAACACAATCTCCTGTGGCATTATTATAATAGATGCAGGGCAAATAAATGTGAACAAGACAGATGTGGAAGTGTGTTTTTGTTTTGTATGGCTAGACACAGCACTCCCTGCAGGGGGTACAGGGGACACATGGCCCAGGCCCATGGGGCCATGCTTTGTCCAGAGTCTGGACAAAAATCCTCAAGCACTGAATTACAATAATATGAAATATTTTTGTAATCGGGTTTTAAAACTTGCTTTATAGGCATCAAAATGTGGCTATGTTTCACTCCACCCTCAGCCTGGCCTGGTTATGACTTGTTTATACACATTTCCTTAACAGACAGCTTCCAAATGACTCACTAAATCTCTGCAAGTATGCAAGCTCTTTTCTTCATTTGCTCTACTCCCAGGGTAAGCCTCTTCTTAAAATATTTGTGTGTGTGTGTGTGTGTGTGTGTGTGTGTGTATGTATGTATGCGTGCTGATACTAGGACTTAAATTTAGGGCCTAGGTGGCTGTCCCTTAGCCTTTTCCCTCAAGCTGACCCTCTACTACTTAAGCTGTACCCCCCACCTCTAGCTTTTTGCTGGCTAACTGGAGATAAGAGACTCATGGACTTTACTAGTTAGATTGGCTTTAGAGCCCAGATCCTCGGATTTCAGCCTCCCCAATAGTTAGGATTACAGGAGTGGGTCGCTAGTCCCTGGCTTGGATAGTATTTTAATTTCTCTACTAAGAAAGCCAATGTCTAATCTTTGATGACTCCTAAAAACCTTCCAGCTTTACACCTCTACCTTAGAGGGAAACTTGCCTCCCGTAAACTGGACTGTCTTCATCTCCTTCCTGTGCTTTGCTTCCAATTTGTGATTTACAAATTTCAGCAGTGAATCTCAACTTGGCTGCCCCCTTAGAATCCTCTGGAGAGCCCCACCCCAGACCAATTAAATCCTATCCTTGGGGGATTAGATGTTAAATTGTATGGCCTCATTATCTCTATTACCTTTGCAGTCTGTCCATTTGTTCTGGCACCTAATTTGGGCTCTCAGTTACCTCTTAAGTTTTGCTAATTAAACAGGATTTTAATTGTTCAGTCCCTTTCTAATTTCTTAATAATAGCAATGGCAGCCACAGCGATGGTGTTGGGATGGGGAAAGTGAGTTACTTTGTGCTAGGTACAATGCTACACTAATTACAACATATCAGCCCATTTCTGCACAAGCCTATGACGTCAACCTTCCTCTAATCCCCATTTAATAGATGAGGAAACTGAGGACAATATAGATGAGGTCATTTCCCTGAAGCCTTACAAAGAGAAGGAAGTAGAATCTCGGTTTCAAACTTGCTGCATTTTATAACCTCCGACACAAACACCCTCCTCTTCAGGCATCGCAGATCTTCAGCCTACACGTATAGTCCTGGCAAGAGTTGGAATGAACTGCTCGTCTCTAAAATGGAAAATAGAGGTCTTCTCCCAATCTGAACAATCTCACATTCACATTTTTTGTCCTCCCTATCCCACACCTCCAAGTGTCACTTAAGTTTTGAAGTCTGTCTCTGCTTTGCCATACATATAGAATAAAGCGTATGAGAATATGTAATTCCCCAGAAAATTGTCCATTTTGCTACATATAATGCAGTGTGTATCAACAGTTCATACTTGTCTGCTCTCAGACAAAATGAGACACCTCTGGCCCTGCCACAGTGCTGCATTATTACTTGCAGATCACACATCTGTGGATGTTTGGCAGTTTCAAGTGGGACCACAGAACCTTCTTGAGAGTTTAGGAACTTCACATATTTTTCTGTCACACCAAGAAAGTATGTGACAAGGAGCAGGTCTGAGGAAAAGAGTCTAGAAAGAAAACAAAAGCTTAGAAAAGACGAGGATGGAAACTGTATGTTTATAGTGTATCTCGGAGCCAGCCACAGAAGCAGAGAGTAGTGAATATTGTCAGACATCACTTGTGTTGACTGAGCATAGTTATTGAATAGCAGTTAGAGAACTGAGCTCGGGCTGTCACTGCAAGGATGTGTAAGAATCTGGGTAGTAGATTTTAGAAGAGAAGTAGGGAGGTGTTCACAGGATGAAGGCTGGAAACAGGCTTCTCAGACATGGAATGCTTTGTGCTACAGGACAGATGGGAAATTTAGAGTTAGGGATAAGTTTAAAAGGGAAATCACACTCTCTAAAAGCAGCCAGGAAAAAAAAAAGACAGTTTGTGAATAGAGATGGGACAGCAGGCTAGGCCCTAACATATTTAGTTCTGCTCCTGGGACTAGGGAATGGCACAAGACAGGTAAGGGGGAGCAGGGATGGGAGAAAGTTAGAGAAAATTGGCTGGGCTGCAAGGGGACAAGCCAGGTTTGTGGTGGTGTAGATGCCCAATGGCTGTCTTCCACGGTAGCTGACTCCGACCACTAGAGGGCACCTGTAACTTGTACCTGTCAGGACACTGGGAACTAGCGCCACCACATTAGTGTGCTTGTCCAAGGGGCTGCCCATGCCCTCCTGACCAGCCACAGAATGTGCCGCCAGAAGTTTGCGTGTCCTGTGGCACCCTTTTCTAGATGGCTAATCTGACCACTCACTTCTTTTACCCAGCCATCCCGGCCTGCCTGCCTTCCTGGAGGTTGACTATCACAGTCATCTGAGAGCTACACTTGACATCCATCGTGTTGCAAACCATCTCTCTGCCGTTGGAAGCTGACCCCATGGTGGCTGGAAATGATACACGCTCCCCTGCACCACTATTTATATTCTACGTTAGACCCTCTGTCCCCTCACCTGGACTCTAAGCTTTTAGTGAGCAAAAGTATCAGAATATCTTAAGATGTCCGGAGAGGAAATAATTGGTCTGGGATTTGCTTTAAAATACAATGTGGTGGGAGGGGGGGAGTGTGGGTGAAGGAAAACAGGGCTCATTATGTAATGTGCTCTACTTTATAGATCCTTGAATATTTCCGTAATAAAGTTGCAACAATCTTTTTGTTGGCAATGAAGAAGTCCGAGTTTTCCTTGTCTATAAAGCAAGACAGGTTGAGGCAGCTGTGGGTCCTCTAACTGCACCCTCTTTTGAGTCACTGCTCAGAGAATGAACACTGGAAAGCTTTGTGAGGTGAGTGGGTAAGTAGAGGGCAGGCAAAAATGGAATGTAAGGCTAAGTTTCAAGGACTGGTCTCATCTCCTTTGGATTCCAGTCCTCTGCAAGTCCTGAGAAGGTGAGAAAACCCACTCAGATCTTCTTGTACCTGCCTCCCCAGAGCCCCAGGTCCTTCATTTGCAGGCCACTATGGTCAGTGGGTTTGGCAAAAGAGGCCCTGGACTTCTTGCTGGCACATGTTTTAATGGATTCTTCCCTCTAACAGCTGGTTTAGGGAAGTCTCTTCAACTGTGGCCTGGCAGCCATGAGACAAAAGAGTAGTTGATTCTGAATGAGCTCTAATATGACGGAAAAGACCCTGTGCCTGTGTGAATGGGGCACAGGATCCAGAGGTCAGGTACAAAGGACTTGAGGTAGGTGTCCATAAAGGACCAAGGTTAATGGTCAGGATCATATGTTTCTAATCAAGTGTGTGTGTGCCTTTGGCTGAGAGACAAGAGGTGTACATGTGTGTGCGGAGTATGTAAGACACAATGTCACGGCTGATTGTTCTCGCATACTAGAGGAGCACTGCCAGACCCCAGCAGCTAGTGGAAAGTGGAGGGGAGGCAGAAGTAGGGACAAGCCAGCTAGAAGGATGTTGTAGGTGAAACAGACTTACCAAGTGTGCTGGAGATGGTGACCTCGTGTCTTTGACTGTGGCACTGGAGGGGACATCAAGGAGGGGCCATTTCATCTGCAGGTACTGCACAGGGGACAGAAAACACAAAGCAATGGGTGAGATGCAGCCTCACAGGATCCAAAGTGAGCAGAGAAAAGCTCTGTAGTGAAGTCATAGGTGTCACAGGGAGGCGTGCTGTTACAGCCATTACCATTTCCAGCAGGGTCAACTTCAATAACTCTAGCGGCATACAGCACACACATGTAGTTACCCCACCACAAGCATCTCTCTCATTGCTGGGAGGAGAAAACACAACTCAGCGGGACTTTGAAGTGAGGAAGAGAGCTGATTTAGTCCAGCACAAATGATCAGACCATAAGAACCAATCACTAAGGCTCAAATCCTCTGCTCTAGTCACACAATGAGCAGGATTGGCAAGAATCAGAGGTTCCCAGATGACAGACCTGTCTTGGTCCATTTCCATCTCCTACAGTATCACACAGTGCTCTCCAAGATACAATTTCTATAAGACTATCTAGAGAACAAAGGAATTAAAACCTTCAGTATGATGTATTCATGGGTGATTAATTACCGACCTACTTTCAAGGATGCTGATATTTATTATGAAGCTTCTCATCCTCCCCCCCCCTTTTCTCCTTCAAGGCTGGGACTTGATCTCAGTATCTGACACTTGCTTTTACTCATTGGCTAGTGTTCTACCATCTGAGCCAAGCCTCCAGCCTTCCCATCTTTGATAATACTGCCTAGCACCCCATCTTCTGTTATGGGTCAGTGCAAAAACCTACTCCAATGGCAGATCTCTTCTACACTCACCAATGCGTGAACACGCACACATTAATGGAAAAATCTTGTGGTCTTGGCAAGAGTGTGGACACTTTAGGAGCCTGGGAAGGGCCCACCTGGGCTGAGTCCAGCATCCATGGGATCAGGTCTCACTCAGCCAAGGTGGGCCGTGTGATATAGGACAAGAGACGTACTACTTGGAGTCTATTGTCAACAGGAAGGCAAGCTGTTATTACTGCCTTTACTAGTTGTTAGAAGGAGCAGAGGGCAATGCCAGGTATGGAACACAGTACCTGGCATGTGGGAGACTTTTGATAAATGGCAGCTATTGTGTCCATAAGCAAACCATTAGTTTTTGCCAGGAGCCAAAACACACATGTTATCCCAGTGGCAACACTGATGGGATGCTTCTGGGCAGCCGACCAGCAAGGCAGCCTTCTCTGTGGAAACTTCTTGAGACTACTTTGAGAACTAGAGTGCTTGCTATAGGAAATGACAGCTCCAGGAAGTTTCAGAGAGATACAGAATGAAGACCCTGACTCTTCACTAATTCAATTTCAGGGAAGAAATTTAAAAAAATCATAGCAGAGCACCAGTGGCTCATGTCTATCTATTATATCTACTCAGGAGGCTGAGATCTGAAGATCTCAGTTTGAAGCCAGCCCAGGCAGACTAATCCAGGAGACTCCTATCTCTTATCAAATAACCAACAAAAAAAAACAGAAGTGGCGGCGTGGCTCAAGTGGTAGAGCACCAGCTGTGAGGCAGCCTGTATGTTGAGCTTCTTTATAGCAGGATCTTTATGCATACCACCAGACCGCAGTATTTCCTTTGCTCAGATGGGTTTTTCCGTTCTTTGACTATTTGGCCCACCAGAGGCTATATGGATATGCAATGTTCTTCTGTAGAGATTCTGCAGATGGCTAGAACTTATATGTGGGCACCAAACATGAAGAAGAGAGGGGAGGAACATTTGGCCTGTGGGGCATAAAAGGCGCTTGAAATCATCTAGTATGTGATAGAACCGACATATATGCTTTTCAGTGACGGTTCCTCAGCCTGCGTGCCTATGCTGCCAATTCTGTATAGCCTGACAAAGATGGTATTATTATCCAAATGGTCCTTAGCAGAAAAAAGGTTTCCCCACTGAATTCTAGAACATCTGGAACATTTGTTTAAAACACTGCAGTATAAGCTGGATGCTGGTGGCTCACGCCTGTAATCCTAGTTACTCAGGAGGCTCAGATCTGAGGATCACAGTTCAAAGCCAGCCGGGGGAAGGAAAGTCTGTGAGACTTTTATCTCCAATAAACCACCAGAAAACTGGAAGTGGCGCTGTGGCTCAAGTGGTAGGATGCTTGCCTTGAGCTGGAGAGCTGAGGGACAGTTCCCAGGTCCAGAGTTCAAGCCCCATGACCACAGAAAAACAAAGCAAAACATAACAAAACACTGCACTAGGGGCTGGGAAGGTAGCTCAGTGGTAGAGTGCTTGCCTTGCATGCATGAGGCCCTGGGTTCAAGTCCTCAGCACCACATAAACAGAAAAAGCTGGAAGTGGTGCTGTGGCTCAAGTGGTAGAGTGCTAGCCTTGAGCTGAAGAAGTGAAGGACAGCACCCAGGCCCAGAGTTTAAGCCCCAGGACTGGCAAAAGTTTTTTGGTTTTTTTGGTTAGTTCTGGAGCTTGAACTCTGGGCTTGGGTGTGGTCCCTGTGCTCAAAGCTAGGGCTCCACCATTTGAGCCACAGCACCACTTCAGTTTTCTGGTGGTTAATTGGAGACAAGAATCTCATGGGACTTTCCTGCCCAGGCTGGCTTTGAACCATGATCCTTAGATCTCAGCCTCCTGAGTAGCCAGGATTACAGGTGTGAGCCACCGGCTCCCATCTAAAAGATTTTAAAGCAAGATGAGATGGGCTGCAACTGAGTCCCTGAATGGCCAAAATGCCTCTGGATGGCAACTCCAAGTCCTAAGAAATTCCCAAGATCATGAATCAGGGCAACAGGAGCCATGAAGTTCTTTGTCACTTGGGTACCAGGAACTCGGAGGTAGTTGGGCAGTTCTGAGTTCCCAGGTTAGGCCTAGTCCAACATGCAGTGGAAATCAAGCTTTTCTTGGCAGTAATTTCTCAGGTGAGGCCAGCCCCATGATCACCCTGGGGGTAATCACTGATGGGTGGAGTGTGTCTCCAGGGATTAAATGGCACGTGGCTGAACATAGATGCTTTGCTTGATAATAGAATGTGAGTAAATTAAAAATGTTGTTTTCTCCTAGCTTCATCTGGGCTCTATTCAACTGGCAACTTAAGGCTCAGCTCCTGACCAGGATATCATGGCTGGTCCAATGAGGATTTGTACATAGCACCATCCAACTGCCTCCCTTCTGGGATGCCCACTTTACTAATAAAAGTCTAAGGCTGGGCACCAGTGGCTCACGCCTGTAATCCTAGTTACTAAGGAGGCTGAGATCTGAGGATCATGGTTCAAAGCCAGCTCGGGCAGGGAAGCCCACGAAACTCTTATCTCCAATAAACCACCAGAAAGCTGGAAGTGGCGCTGTGACTTAAGTGGTAGTGTGCTTGCCTTGAGCTGAAGAGCTCAGGGACAGTACCCAGGCCCAGAGTTCAAGCCCCACAACCAACAAAAACAACAACTCTGGCCCTATGTGTCATCACTGCAACTGATAGGAATGCAACAGCAGTAGCTACCACTTCTGGAGAGTTTAGAGTCACACCTCCAACGTTTTGTTTTTGTGATGGTTAGTTAGAAACAAGAATCTCAGACTTTTTTCTTTTTTTCTTTCTTTCTTTTTTTTTTTTTTTTTTTGCCTAGGCTGGTTTAAACTGCCATCCTCAGATTTCAGCTTCCTAAGGAGTTAGGATAACTGGTGGGAGCCCTGGCCAAAGGACTCTTCTGATATTCAGAAATAGAAGAAAACCAAACCATAATGGGAGGTGTGAGCATTGTTGATGGACATTTACTATTTAATATGCCATCATGCCTTGTTAGTACAAGACAAGACAAATATGTAGGTTCCCAATCAAAATGAATCTGGGAGATATTTTTTTCTCTTGGGGGAGGAGAGACTGGGTTTCTCCTATTGTGTTTCACAGTTAAGTGGAATAAGGCTGTGGTTTAGAGCATGTCTTTACCTTGTTAAGAAAGGATGACTATGATTCTATTCTTATTTTCACATTGTTTTCACTGGAATAGTTGTTGAATTCTCTCAGTACTCCAAAATGGTCATGTGGTTTCTCTTGTTAGACTCATTCATGAGATGGATGCACAGTAATGGATTTTTATACTAGAGCACTTTCGCATTCCACAAGAGAACCCTTTCAGATTGTGTGGTTTTTTCTTAAGCTATATTGTGGAAGGCCAGTCAGAATGCTTTAGTTTTTTAATTTTTTAGTGCTAGTACTAGGGCTTGAACTCAGGGCCTGGCTCAGGGCCTGGACTGCTTCCCTTGAGCTTCTCCTTTGTACCCCTTTAAGGCTAGTATTCTACCACTTGTGCCATAGCTCCACTTGTGGCTTTCTGGTTAGGAGAGTCCCACAAACTATACTGCCTGGGCTGGCTTTGAATTGAGATCCTCAGATCTAAGCCTCCTGAGTAGCTAGCATTATAGGTGTGAGCCACCAGCGCCCAGAGCTTAAAAAATTTTAGTTCTGCAATCCTAGATAAGGGTGCACAAGCCTTTGTTGTTCTTGTGACATCTGTATTGAGTGTTGCTATCAATGTCATCTTCTGCTCCTTTCTCCTAATGTTCTGGGTCACTTTCAGCTCTTGGGCTCCTTGCTGAATAAACTGAGCACTTGGCCAGGTGGGCTGGTTCCACTTGACTCAGGCAGGCTTGGGAAAGGGTGCCTCTGAGGGATGCTGTCAGTAGAGAGTAGAGCCCTCTTTCCTGCAAGGAGCCAGAGAATCGTCCTACACGATCCCTGCTCTGCTTGGAAACTGAACAGCAGATTAATTGCAGCTGTGCCCTGGAATTTCCCCAACACACAAATCTTCATGATGTAAAACAGCTGGGAGGAAATCCCAGCATGCCCTGTACAGAGGCAGAACTGCCAATGAGCTATGGAGATTAACCCTTTGGCTCCCAGAAGGTAGACAGAGCCCCTTGCTCCAGCCAAATGCGCGAGTGTTCCGGGAAGACATTGTTTCAGAGAAAACTCTAGAAGCAGGGCCTGAGCATGGGAAAACAACAACAAAAAGGGACATACTTACAGTGGGAAGCATGGACACAAGTGATCTCCTAGTGAGAAAACCCCAGCCCTAAA